CTTAAGTAACATGCTACTGGAGAAGGCAGCTACAAATATGTGTACAAATATATACATAATACATTTTCAAATAGTAAAAAGCATTATGAAAAAAAGGTGGTATGGTAGTTATAACAAAGAAATGATTGTTTCACTGAGGAGTGGGGGCTACTTTGACTAGAATGTCCCCAAAATTCTGGGTAAAATATGAATAGACATTCAGATAATAAGGATTTAAGTATATATAAAATCTAAAGTATGAACATTCAGGTAAAGAGAATAAGATATATAAAGGTTTTGAGGCTACACTGGATTTATATATTTTGGAGATTGAAAAATTTCAGGGTAGCCAGAACATCATGAATATTGATTAAATACTAAGAAAGGGAAAAGCAGAAATGAGGGAAGGATTGGCTTCTTCAAGAAAATGTCTAAATTGCCAAGCATTCAAATAAAATTAAAGAAGTAGGTCAGAAATATGAAATTTGTTTTAAAAAAACTCCTACCTCTTCTAAATATCATAGCTAATCAAAGCTAGGTAGCTTCTTCGATTTTTTTTATTTGCCTATATGTGATAGTTCATTTTATGTGTCAAATGGGCTAAAGGATGCCCAGAGAGCTTATAAAATAATGCATCTGTGAAGATGTTTCCAGAAAAGGTTAACATTTGAAACAATATACTAAGTAAAGAAAATCTTCCTTCACCAAAGTGAGATGAGGATCATCCAATCTGTGAGGATCTCAAAAGACCAGAAAGACAGAGGAAGATAAATTTTCTCTCTCTCCTTGAGCTAGGATATCCTTCTTCTCTTGCCCTCTGGCATTGGGGTACTTGGTTCTCAGGCCTTAGGGTTCTAGGGCTTATATCAGCTGCTCCCCTAGTTCTCAATTCTTCAGGAAATATATAAATATAAGTATATATCATATATACGTGTATATATAAGTATATACCATATATATCAAATATAATATATATCATACATATCATATATGTGTATATATATTCATAATATATGTGTAAACATATTTGTGTGTGTGTGTATATATATATATTTCCTATCAGCTCTGTTTCTCTGGGGAACCTATTACAATATATGTCAATATTCGAAAACAGCAGTGCCTATTCCTAATTCCACGTCACTACACAGAGACAGGTAAAAATTAAGTGAATGTAAGGAAAGTGTAGCAGAGTCTCAATAGTGGATAAAATGAGTAATATCACCTGCAGAGGCAAAAGTTTTAACCCTCAGAGAGGAAATATTGAGAAATGGTCTAAGAAGCAGTGGACCAGAGCACTGACTACTAGGGAATCTAAAGGCATAGTCTGGTGTGTTCACAATCCCAATAGTGTTTAGAAGATATAATTTTTTTTAGAAGATATAATTTTGGAAGGAGAGGAAAGACACTTAGAAGAGGAAAATAGCAGAGGCTTAATGATGAAGAAATAAAAATCAGAGGGTGAAAAGTAAAGGTCTCATTACAAAATCAGATTTACCAAAACTTCTCTATCAAAAAAAGTGCCATATATTTAAGAAACTATGTTTGCTACCAACAGGAAAGAGTATTTAGATGGTTGACTTCTCTTTAGAAATATTTGTAATTGTTGGTCCAGAAAAAAATCAGCTCAAATTAAAATGAATGGGGGGAGAAAGGCAGGCATCATCCATAAAAAGAAATAACAAGAGTAAAACAGGAGATAATCAATATTAATTATCTAATCAAAACACTTCCCAAAAGTCCAACCACAAAGAGGAGAACATTTATAGCACAATATTTCAAAATTAATTAATTATAATTAAATAAGCAATGAAAAATATAACAGGATACCACAAGTCGGCAATTCAAAAACTTGGAATAGAAATATAGCAAAAAACCAAAACAAAACAAAACAAAAAACAAATCCTGAGAGTTGTGAAACAAAGGCTGATGGCACTCAGGAAAGAAATTAGATAAAAAAAAAAAAAAAAAAAAAAAAAAAAAAAAAAAAAAAAAAAACAGAATTATCCCTAATCTAAAGGAAAACTAAATCAACACATACCAAGAGAATTGTCTTCAGTGAGGTGTAGGGAAATATGTTAGGGTAAAGGAAATCTCACTTGCTTTGATGGTCAGAGAATCATTTACAATTGCCAGAATTCCTGAAAGCATCTATCTAGATATAGTGAGTTTTATTATGTGAAAATATATGTTAGTAAAGAAAAGTAAAAACTTGCACTTTCAGGTGGGTTGTGGCAGTTTGTTAAGATTACCACACCCCACAAAAATTAATAAGGTAAGTCAGGTAAATTATAAAAATTTTATATTGCACATCAAATCTGTGGAGAAGAGTCCTTCCCAGGTGGCCTGTTTCTCCCCTAGGATGAATTTGATTCTGCACAGAAGCTGAGATTCCAATTTGCCCACAAGAGGGATGAACACTGTTGGAAAAAGACACCGGCAGTGGTTCATGGGCAACAGGACTGCTATGTTGGACTGGAGACTCAGGGACCCTCAGATGCAACTGTGCCTTTCCACATATTCTGACTAATTTCTGGGGTACTAGTCTGGTAAATCAGCACAAACTCTCTTTACTCTTACAGTGCTTGGGAGACAAATATACCCAAAGGAGGTGTCTGCCTCAGACATGTGACCAAACAGTCCCTCAAGACATCTGCCAACATTTCAAGCTGCAGGAGTAAAGAATGAAAAATTAATTTAGCAATTGTTCAAGGGCCAAACTTGAAGAGTCTTTTAGGGCTCTGGAGCTAGAGATCCATCTTGTTCTCAGGCAAAAACCCAGGAGAGTCATATTTAAAGAAAGAGAATAAATCAAAGGTGGAGAAATTCTTAACCAAAATTGAAACCCAGCCCTGCCTTGGCTCCATTTCTGACAGACAGAGGCAATCAGTCATTCTCCAGTGAGGAAAGGTATCATCCGAAGAAATCTCTGTGATGCTATGATGCAAATATCAGGTAAACATTTTTTAAAAATCATCAGACATACAAAAATTCAGGAAAACATGACCACTATCAAGATAAAAAATAAATAATAGAAGCTAGTCCATAGATAAATCAGATTTTTAAGTTAGCAAAGATTTTTAAAGTACTAGTTACTAGTAAATGATATAATTTTTCTAAAAAGATAGAAAATTGGTGACAAATGATGGAACCAGGAAAAGAAGCCCTTTCTCAGCTGTCTTTCAGTGTTCTTCCTGTACCCTATACTGGCAGAGTTCAACATCGTGCCAGCTTGCAAAAGAAATGGTCACGGGGTCTCCTTCCATCATTGCAAAGCAGGGCAAAACAAGGTAAATTTGGACCAAGAGGCAGTAAAGGGCTAACTGGCAATAAAGGGATAAATGATGTCAAACATTACACGCATTATTGACAATTCTTATTGTTAGAAGAACAATGAATCTATGTGCATAGACTTGGGATCAAAGTTTATTTTATTTTTATTATTGTTACCAAATTGAGGATTTTCTAAAAAAGACACAAATATATCCAACATACCTATCTCCAAGCAATAGAAACCACAATTTACGTTGACTTAGGCAAATTGGGATAATAAATACATATTTTGTGAAGGTACATTAACTGAACTTCAGGAAGATCAGGATAGAATTTGTCAAAGAGATGATCATCATAGAAATCTATATCTCTCACATATTATTCTCTTTTATTTATATATTTTATTTTATTTTCTGAGAGACTTCCATGTGGTGTGAGACCCAGATGCTGGTAGGAACAGGCATGTTTATATCCTTAGATCCAATTCATTCAGAGATGCAATTAAAAATATTCTAAAGATTTTGGCTTGACATATGTCAAATTACCCAGTAGGATATAAGACTGGAATCAAAGGAATCAAACATTGTGATTCACTCAGCATAGGTCTCATGAATACTCCCAGACTCATGTCCACAGCAGAGGATGGACACTGTCCTTGAAGAATAATTATGAGCCAGTTAGCCACATGCATTCTATGGCTGTTACAAACATGATAAAAAAATAACTGCATCACATTTTAATTGAAGACAATATCACACTATAGCAATAAAATTATAAAGTCTTTAAAAATAAACTTGGGAAGAAATGTGCAGGATAGATACGAAGAAAATTTTAATCTTCATTAAAAAAATAAAGTGATAAAAATAGTGTAGATTTATCTTCTATAGTAGATACAATCTATACGTATTTTGTAATGGCAAACACATACACACACATATATCCAAAACACATTGTATTTCAGAGCTTGACCAAATGAAATGGAGATATTAAAGTGCATTCATTAAATGAAGGGTTCTGTTTCTAGGCTAGAGAACACTACTTGAGAAGATAAACTCCTGTGAGTATTGAATACTTCTAATGCTAAAACATTAATTACAAAATTATTCCTGAGAACCTGTGGAGAGAAAATTTAGAGGCCAGCAATGATGTGAAGTATCTGTGAAGTATGTGAAAATGCAATTAACAAAGTCAGCCTTTGCTTCCAGGGAATTTGTCAGATCCTACTGAAAAGTAACACAAATTTAAATATACCGTAAGGGGCCTAGAAGGGATAGAGACTGGAAACTGATTATGAATGGAAGTTACAAAAAGACCCCATGGGTGCCTGGGTGGCTCAGTCAGTTAAGCATTTGCTTTTGGCTCAGTTCATGATCTCAGAGTCCTGGGATGGAGCCTTGGGCTCCCTGCTCAGCTGGAGTCTCCTTGTCCCTCTCCCTCTGCCCTTCCCTCTGCTTGTGCTCTCTCTCTCCCTCTCTCTTTCTCTCAAATAAATGAAATCTTAAAAAAAAATAAAAGGAAGAGATCCCATATAAATATGACACTATCAAGAGTGATTTCATAAGCATGCAAATTGGGGGAAAAATCCCTAACTTTGATGTTTTTATTGACTTTGGATTTAGATTAAACGGGGAGAACAAATGAAAGAGAGAGAGACAGAGAGAGAAATGACCACAATAATTTCTAACCACATGGACATGGATCAATAATTCCTAATACTAGGTGTAATACAACACTTAAAAAAAAAAGATCATGTGCTTTCTTCAGAAGCACATAGATTAAAACTAGAATAATGCAGAGAAGATTAATGTGGACCCTGTGCAAGGATGACACACAAATTTGGGAAGTGTTCAATATTTAAATAAACAAAAACAACCCAAACAACAGGTAATATTAATTTGAAGTAATTGAGACTCTGGTGGATGAAATAAAAGACATGAAATCTGAGCCACAAATAATTCATATATATAGCACTCCTATCTGCTAGGGTGGGAGATTTAGAAATAATGGATACAGAAGGCAAAATATGTAAGTTAAACTTTTTAAAGGAGAAACATCTATATTTTCTCATATACTTATATGAGAAAAGCATTAGAAATCATCAAAAAATTGACTAGGTAGATTTTTAAATAGAATCCAATAAAAATTTGGTTTAATTTAGAAATTAAAAATATAATAATGATAATAAAAAATTGGGAAGGGCAGATTTGAAGAGATGAGTAGAAGATAAAGGAATCGGAAGATAAAGTTGAGAAGATTATGTAGCAGCATAGAAAAGTGAGTTGGAGAATATTTTAACAAGAAAATTGTAAGAGACACAAAATGTACAGGAGACTAATATATATGTATATTTGACTAATACAGACTAATATTAGACTAATATATATGTCTATATATGGATACAATGTATAGGTACAATGTGGATACAATTTGGATATATATATATATCCAACATTTTACAAGGGATGTAAATGGAATAGTATATATAGAATTATACCTTTGGTATGTAATCAATGGTATATAGAATTATAATGAGTGCAAAATTCAAAAATGGAAGATTTAAAATGATGAATCAATTCCAAGCATCATACTTTTATTTATTTATTTTTAAGATTTTATTTATTTATTCATGAGAGACACAGAGAGAAGCAGAGACATAGGCGGAGGGAGAAGCAGGCTCCATGCGGGGAGCCCGACAGGGGACTCCATCTCAGAATTCCAGGATCATGCCCTGAGCCGAAGGCAGGCACTAAACTGCTGACCCACCCACACGTCCCCAAGCATCATACTTTTAAACAAACAAGCAAACAAATAAAAAGCAAAACCAGGAAATCTACATTTAAATATTTATCATGAAAACTGTACGCCAACAAAGACAGTGAAACACTTTTTGAACAGCCAAAGAGAAAGTACTGTGTACCATAGAACAAAAGAAGCTTTAGTACAGAATTCTGAGTTGACTAGTACAGAATTCTGAGTTGACAGTTATTTTCTCTCAAAATATTAATATATTATTCTCTCATTTTCACGTCTATCCCTGCTATTGAGACATTCCCATCAGCCTGTTGGTCCTTTCTACCCATTTCTATTCTTTTTGGTGACTATTTATAAGAGGTTCTTTATTGTTTTTAATATGTTAAAACTTCTCCATAGAAACTACATATATCTAGGTGGGGGTCTCATTCTATTTTCTTGCTTGGTATTTGTTGAATTCTTTCAATTTGTGAACTGATAATTATATCAGTTTTGGAAAATTTCAGCTTATTTTTTCACATTTTTTTCTGCTATGTTCTGTATCTTCTTTCCTTGGACTAAACAAACATATGTTAAATATTTTCCTTTCTTCTAAGTTTATCAAGTTCTTTTTTATATTTGTATTTCTTTTATCTCCAGTGTTTCATTCTGGATATTTCCTCCTAAACTATCTTCCAATTTAATCATTCTCCATTAAATTATAGCAAAGCTACTGTTAAACTCCTGAATTCTAATTTCACTCATTGAGATATTAAGATTAAAAATTTTACTTGGGGTCTTAAATTCACTGCCACTTTCTAGTTTCCACATTCTTGGTGAAGTTTTATTTATTTATTTTTAAGATTTTATTTATTGATTCATGAGACACACACACACACACACAGACACACAGAGGCAGAGACACAGGCAGAGGGAGGTGCAGGTAGTTCAATGTGGGACTCAATCCTGGGACTCCAGGAACACGGCCTGGGCTGAAGGCAGGTGCTAAACCGCTGCTAGCCAGGGATCTCCCTTGGTGGAGTTTTAAAGTTTAGCTTTTAATTCTCTAATCACATCAACCATGCTTGTTTTACAATCTTTGTATAATAATTTATTACCATATTTCTTATACTGCAAGTTACTCGTCTTTTAAACTAGTGTGTCTGAGTATCTTTGATTGCATGATAGACATTAAGTATGAAAATTAAAATACGAATTAATTAGACGATAAAAGTTATATATATACTTTTTTCTCATTGAGTGCTTGAATTTATTTTTGAATAGCACTTAGGAAAACACCATCACCTCAATCCAATTTTGAATATTGCAATTTTCTAGGCAGGGACAATGACCCCTAAGCAGAACTGAAATCCTTATCAGGGAAAATTTATATCTGACTTGCACTTGATGCTTTTAAGGTCCTTTGTATTCATTTCTTCAGTCCTGTAACACTGCCAAGAGCCCTTTTCTATCTCAGCCATCTCTAGGCTTCCAGGGTCCCACCCCTCTAGTTAAAAGATGGTCCCATCACTGGATTTACCTCTTGAAAATTCTTTTTCTCTATTGTGGCCTATTTGGTACTTAAGATCTTTAAAAAAAATATATTTTCATCCAGCTAGCTTTTAGCTGTATTTAGTATTTTTCCAAAATTGCTAAATTCGCCCTTACTAGAAGTCATAGATCTCTCCTGTTACCCCTGCAGTATTTTTTTAAAAGCATTTGACTGTTTGAATCTCAATGTTCACTTTTTAGCATAAACTTACTCTTCTCATGAGCAAAGGTGTTGAACTTGATTAGCCTAAAAAGCTGACAAGGGATGCTCGAAACTTTATTAAACATAGAGTTTAAGATATAATTTAAAAAGACTGCAACAATAAAAAACTGATTAATGCAAAAGAATCAAAACATCAGTTATAGGGATGTAAAACAAAAGCAATGTAAATAATTTTTATAAAGTAGTAGTGTATTATTACACTTAATGGTTAAGTAAAGCAGTATACAAACATAGTCTTCACAGGACAGTGTAAGTTTAGTTATTATCTTTGAAAAGCACTTGAACTATTATTACATTCAGGATTTTATTCAGTGGCTTTTTGGTTGGTTTAACTCTGCTCTGTTATAAATGAACTCAATTAAAGGAGACTATTAATTGCTGCATTTGTGCCATTTCATTTACAAGGAATTACCAAAGCAACTACAACACTGAAGAGAAGACATTTTTTTTTTTCTCAAAGCAGCTGGTCATAGAGAAGGATTGTTCCCTCAAGAACCATAAAACTCTTCCATTTGACAGCCAAGCAGAAAAGGTGAGAACAAAATAAACAGCATTGCTAACAGGATCTGTCACCATGATGAATGCTGATGAGCAGTAATTAATGTGGATTCTTTTAAGCAAAGCCCAGAGGTCTAAGCTTATGCCCACTCACTTAGAGATAGGGAGGCAGGAAAAAGAACCAGAATGAAGAAACCAAAGAAAATATTGCTTTTTTTTTTTAAGTGGGTAGGGAGACTATTAAAGCGGTGTAATGTCTGATCTTCTTGATTTTTTGAGCTCTTGAATATTATTCAGATCTAGAACCAATGTTTAACAGATATAAACTATTCTGTGTATGATTTCCCTGCCTATATTCATTTACCTGTTCACTACTTGTTTTATTCATACATTATCTGACAAACACTTATTGACCATAAAGTGATACACAATTTTGAAATATTTATATTTTCTTTTCATTTTTATACTATATTAGCTTTTCTATATGAAAGTATTTTTTCACACTTACATTAAATTATTTCAATAATATTCTGAAGAAGAAAATTATTACATTAAAAATAATAGTTTATATTGTTATGTATGTTAGTAGAAATGATATTCCATAAATGTTTTCATAATCCTATCATTCAATGCCAGAGCCTAGAAATAAGCTCCAGCATGATTCTTGGGACATTATCAAGGCACTTAATTTGTTCGGCAGATCACTCTTGGTTAAAGAAACAACTTCTATGAATTATCCATCCCCTGCCTTAGATTTAGGTCTTGGATTACTACATATTCTCCATTAATCATTACTGTAGAGGTATGTGTGATGCATTTAGGTTGCCAAGGCCCACACACAAAGCAGGGTAGCATTTTCTAGTATCACTGCTCAAGCCATGTTTTGTCAACTCAGGAGTAGCAATCTGTGTACCTTTATTATAATCTATGAGACACTTGCAAGGAATTCTCAGCAATCATCTCTTTTTAGTGCCAGAAGTGTTATGTCAGAAAAAATACGTTTATGATGAAGAGTTCTTTTTCAGCATTGGGGTAATCTCCAGACACCATCATCAGGCAATTCTTTTCTGGAAACATGTCACAGCTTTCCAAATTCTGGTTTTCAACAGTGGAATTCATGTACCTTATCATTTCAGGCTTAACTTTTTTTTTTTCTTAGATTAATTCTTCACTAAAGACTGACTATGGTTATTTCAGAACCATTTGATTCTTAGTTTCTCAGTTGTAAGTTAGTTACTCTTTCCTATACTTTGGTAAGGCATTCATTTCCAAAATGGAAGGAAAAGGAGAGTATCTCTGCAGGTAAGGGAAAGGAAAAAGGAATGAGACATCTGAGTTAGCAGTTACAAAGATGCCAGTGTCACAGGTCAACTCACAGCCTCTTCCGGGGATGGCTCTTTGAGCAGTCTCCTGATACCATCAATTTTCTTCCACTGATCTAGCCTTGAGAGAACCCCTTTTGGGTCATTGCGAGCCTGAAAAAGAAAGCTGAACCATAAAACCTTTTAAAAAATTGCCTTATCTTCTTCTCCAAGAGCCATTTTCCCAGATCTCTTTTATGTGCACACACACACACATGGATGTGCAAAAAGCTATGCACATATTATTTTTTCATTTGTGTATTTGCCATTTTTAATCTTTTTTCTTTAAGTTACATGTTAATATCATTTGATTGACATTTTTCTTTGGTTAATAGTGGTATTTTTATTGAATGTTATTCATTAATCGAATATTGTTGAGGACCATTATTGCACAAAGCAATGATTTTAAGAAAAAAGAAGAAACGGAACAAATTTTCTGCTCTTGTGGTATGTATATATATTTAAGAATGCTACAATGATTTCTTTTCCAGTTTG